TGTGTATGGGATCAAGGTATGTGTATGTGTATAGGGTCAGTGAGTGTGTGAAGTGGAGAGGTATAGGATCAGCATGTGTGTGTAAGATTGGGGGGTGTATAGGATCAAAGCAGGGGGTGTGTGGAAAGCTGTGAAATATAAAGTATTTTAGAACATGTCAACTCAATCTCACATGAGCAAGTCTAGGAGACTGTCACACAAAATACAACAGGAGACCTCTGAAATTCCCTTACAATAAAATAAGGCATGTACTTTTTTTTGCCCTATTAAAGCTGCAATAGAAAAATCAATCCTTTTGTTTTAGGACAGTTCTTCTTTCACATTTCTCCTTAATATATTTGAAGTTCCAAATCCAATAATTCTAGGTTTTTATAGAATCTTTTAAGGCACACATAAAAAGTTAAAAAGTCTAATCAAGACCTTTCTGAGCTGGCCAAATCTTGACTAATGAATTATTTAACCACCTAGTAAAACAGCCTTCCTCATGTGACTACATATCCCTGAACCACCAATATATGCTTTCGCGGTAAGCTTGAAAGTACAAATTCTAAGGTTTAAAATGGACCAAGTGAGTTTGAGTTAAGGTTAATTTGTGGAAAGCCCCTGCTAGTGCATCTCCATTTACTGTTACCATGGGACAAAATTATAGGGGCTTCTATTTAGGCAAGGAATGATGGACTGGGAAAAACCCACAGTATGTACATAGTACTCAGTTTGGATCTTACGTATCAATTGAGGGATGCCAGAAGAAAGCTGGAAATCTGCTGTTCATCAGCGTGGGGAGGTCCAGACTGGCAGAAAACAGCCAGCATCCCAGAACTTGAATCCTTTATGTTAATAAAACTAGCCCAAAAGTCTCATGCAGAGAGGGTGCTGGCTGAGTTACTGAAGCTCCTGAAGATAGGGAAATGGAGACCAGGGTTTGGTAGAACAACAGCAAAATGGGAAGGTGGTACCTCACCACAGAGCCCAGATTGATTACAAGGCCATCTGCCTAACATTTCACCTCTTCCTGTTTCATGTTTCAACAAGTACCTGGCTCTCATGTTTGTGGAGAGAGCAATGGGAAAAGTCCAGCCCCCTTCCTGCAAAGTGCTTCTGCTCAGCTTTTTTTTATTCTATTGCAAGCTGCTGTCTTCTGACGTCTGTGCCCAGCATCTTGCTAATACCACCATTCCAAATATTGCTATACCCCACTCAAATTGACTAGCTTTATTGTTACTTACTTACAGACTCCCCACATTCTTCCCAGCAGACAAGAGGAAGCTGAATTATACTAACCCCAGGTTCAGAGAAATTTGAAAGGAGATTCCCAGGCTTTTGCTGTAGTTGAACAAATTCAAGTCAGCCTAATTTGCACCCCCTATAATACCAAAATCCTAGTGCACAGAACCTTGCTGAAAAGCAGCATTTCATTACTAATGATAGATTTTCCACAAAAAAAAGAGACACCACATGCTTAAGAGAAGGAAAGACAGAACGATTCTCCTCTTCAAATGAAAGGAAACTAAATTTCCAAGAATTTTGTTTTCTACTTAAAAAATAAAACAAGTCACAGCCAGCTGCACAAGATTCTAGTTTGGTGGAATCTCATTCTGAAGGGACAGAAAGATGACAGCCTCCTTTACTCACTCTTCACATGAAGCATAACGGTTAAATAGAACAAAAACCTATCCAAGAGTGTACCACAGGTGATAATTGTAAGCATTTCAAAGAAAGTTATCAAAAGCTCAAAAACTGCTTACACAGTTCTTCCATCTGCAGCAAAGATTTCCATTGCCAACACGTCAGTGTTGCCAACAAGGCAGTAATCCAGAATTACTTCTTTCCAAGTCAGATTACCAGAATTTATGTGAAACCAGACAAACACCAGCAAGCCTTAAAGAAAAAACTGCTGCTTTATAATGTACATCAAGTGATCTCTCATACCTTCCTTTTCATGTTCCTGTTCTAGTGGCTCCAAGACACCATCATCTTCATCCCTGTAGCCATAATATTCTGCATCAATTGCTTTCATAAGCTCAGCTCGAGTCTTCCTTGGAGGAGGGAGAGCTGAAAGAACATTACTCAGTCACCCAAAAGAAAATGATGCTCCAAATCTTAATAGCTAGTTATGCACATGTGAACCATAAATCAGCCCCACAGCACTAGTCCATCATGGCAGATCAAATCAACCAAAACAGACAAACAACTATCATCAGTGATCAAAGAACTCTTTACATTCTTCTCGAGGCTACATTCAAAGTGCCTGCCTGTTCTCTAGCCACCACTCTCATCCCCTCACACTTGCATCAACTTCCCCCTTTCTAGCACTTTATTTTACACTGATGCCAGCTACATGCCATCATAAGTGCTCCTATAAAAGTAATTCTCTCTCAAGGATTTCAGGGAGGGCTAACAATATCTCCGAACAGACAGAGGTCCTTCCCATAGCCTAGGAAGTAATACTTCTGAGGGATTCAGGGTAAGGAGGCTCCGGGGTGGTTCTGTATTTCAGCTTTTAAGCCCAACTACCTCTTGACTTCTTATGTAAAACTTACACAGTAGACTAGCTAAGGCCAGCCTGGGGTCAAAAGGTCTTAAAAGCACAGCAACATCCCTCAACTACCTACTGCTTCAACAGTCAAGGATATAAAGATCACCGAACAGTTAACTGGATAGCAATATATACAATTAAACTAGTTCTCACTAATATTAAAATGGATTGTTAATTACTATTTTATAAAGTTAGGGTCAAACTTAATTCTACAATGGGAAATGGCAATTGTTTATAGCGAGAAGCACATATAAACAGACTGAAACTTTTTTTTTTTTTAATAATTTTTTTCTTTTGGACCATGGAAAGGCAGAGTTAACTTGCTTTCCTCTGAATTTATCTAGCCCCAGTCAGGAGGCTATTCCAGCTATGCATGTAAATAAATGTTGTTTTTCTTCAGTCAAGGAAACATTAATGAATAACAACATTTAATTTTGCTTTGATAAATGTTTAAGTTGACTGGTCTCTAGCTTAACATAGAAGCTTCACTCCAATTTCAGCAGATACATTTCACATGACACAAGATGCTGCATAAAGTTACTCTTATGAGTTACCAGTTGGAATAATACAAGCCTGAAGCACTAGCAAGAAAAATAAACAAAATGAAAAAAAATGCTTTCAACATACTTAAATGATTCTCTAAACTTGGCAAGTTACTTACGTTCCTTTTCAAAGAGTTCTCTGACACCTGGTAAGTCTTTAGCAGCTCCAAAATATTTGTAACCTCTGTTTCCTGGAACTTCTTTTCCTTCATGATCTAGCATTTTTGGACCAACTCTCTTAAAGAATAAATGAAATAAAATAAAATAAAAATAAAAATAACAAAACCCCAAGATTCATTGCTCCTGGTCACCTTCAGTTCTTCCCCTATGCTTATTGGTATTTTTCATTCTCTAGGATACTAGGGTGGGGGAAAAAATAATCTGTGTTCCAGCTATATCAAATATTTCAGCACATAACTGCCACTAACATCACGCACACCTTTGTATTACTACTGTCCTTCTTACTGGGCACATCAACACATGCGCCTGACTCTGCAGTAACTGCCATTACTGTGCAGTCCCAGCAGTGCGTGGGTCATTTCCAACCCTACCATGCAGTAGCAACAAGCTACTTAGCTCGTTGCTAATGCACAGTAGTATTGGTGTCACAGTTCGTGCTGGCCAATGCAATGTCACTGTAGCTTATCACTACGGTGGTGTAGCATCTTGGGTAGATGCACTCACTGAGTATCAGCCATGTGACAGTCATGTAGTATTAAGTCTCATAGCAGACACACTTTGTCATCTCTTCATACTGAACATCATGGTTTTGGGACAAAAATTGGATTAAAATACTATATTATAAGCCAGTGGTGCCCAACTTTTTCACCCCATGGGCCAGATCTCTCTACGGGCCAGAAATAGACAACAGGCCTGATTGAGCTGCAAGGGGTTGCATAGCCCAATCCATTCAGCACGGGGAGGATGGGGGGTGGGTAGGTTAGCCTCAAATCTGTACACATGGGAGAGGTGGGCCCATCCCTGATCCTGCTGGATGCACAATGGCCCAGGCGAGGCTAGAACCAGCTGCATAGAGCTTCCATCACTGCCCACTGCCAAGTTTTCCAAGTTGTGGGAATCCCTGTGGACCAGATGTCATGGCTCCATAGGACAGATTTGGCCTGCAGACTAAGGGTTGAGCACCCCTACTATACACAGGGTCACTATGTGGAACCTGACACAGATCAAGTATTAAAAACTGAATTAGTAAGTACCTGATAAAAATATACAATAGAAATTTCAGCATCCAACATCATATTTTGGCTCAGAGCAATTAAAAATATCAAATGCTTGTGCTTTGCATTTTCCACAATGAGCAGAGAACAAATTACTTGAGTAAAACCTTTCGTAGACTGAAGGGGTGCAGAAGAGAGGAACTACAGAGGGGCAGATAAATTTTCAAAGTCTGAAAGGATGGTCAACAGAAAAATACTTAATTTTATCTTCTAAAGCCGTTAGCAAATTAAAGAGTCATTTTATGACCCTGGTCAGGATAGAAAAAACAAGACATAGATATTTGTTCTAACATACGATTCAACCTGTTCTAGGGGCCTGAATAAGATTCAACTATTGACATTCTAATCACTAAAAAATATAAACAAATGTATTAATTTATCTCTTTTATATGCACAAAAAGCACTAGTCCAGCATTCATTAGATTAAGCTTTCTTATCCTGAGATGAAGAGCTATTACTTTACTAGTGATTCAGTTAACTGCTGCTCTGTTTGTCAACAAGATTTATTGTTTTGTACTTACAGCATAATCAGGACCTCCTAACTCCTTTATCCTGACCTCCCAGTGTCCCTTTTCTCTTAGCAGCTTGTTAATTTCATCATTTAAGTCTCGAATTCTGAATTCACCTAAGCCAGCTACAAGAAAGGAAAAAAGAAGTTAGGAAGTTTCTATAGACACCAGTATTAGGTGCCTGTTTGGAAGGATTTTTTTCTTCTTCTTACTGGGAAGAAAAGCACCTCTTCCTCCCTTAAATTCCTGGAGGGTCCCTGAAAATGCAAGATCATTCTTCATGAATGATACAGTTTTGGGGCAAAAAAGACTTATGTATTCCCCAGGACTGATGTTTGCTAGATAGGAAGCACTCTGCCATGCCTTGAGAGAAAACCAAGTACTGTACTTCCTGTACTTAAAAACATGCTACTCTGCCAAAAGCACATTAGCTTTAGTTTGAATCAGATAGGTATTATCACTGGCTTAGAACTAGTGAATACAGCTTACTGCTCCTGAAAGCATCTATTCAGGTTTATTAGTGACTAATCCTGGTAAGTCATGATGTAATTCATGCAGGAAGATCACTTTGTTTTTTTCATTATTTATACTGGTACATAAATATTTTAAACTTTAATAGTTTCACAAGTAAAAGAATGCATCCTTAACTGACTTGTCAAATATTTCAAGTAGATAAATTCTGGGGAAGATGCCAGTATTTTAACTGGGCTATCATAGCTCCTCTTGAAAGCAGAAACGGGAACTCTGCCTATCAACAGCGCACACAGCCCCTCAAGGCTTCCTGTCAAAAAACTGAAGGTGGTAAGTTTTTATTGTTTGTGAAATTTTACTCTTAACTGTTGCCTAACTGTAGCAACTTAGAAGTTTGATTATTCTAGCCATCACCTTGCTTCTTGTTCAAGTCAAGCTTAACAGTATCCTCTAAAGTCCTGCAAGAATGATAAGGTTATAGATGCAGAGCTGCATATAGAAAGTTGCCATTTTAGTAGAGGTGCACCGATACATTGGTACATATCAGATCACCGATAAAAAGAAAGTTGCCATAATCGGCAATCGGCATTTTTTGGCCAGCGTAGCCGATAATGTCACCAATAAATGCTGCACACACGCACCCAGCTGCAACATGCACGTAGCCAGGAATGCAGCCCAGCAGCTTGAAGAACAGCATATGACTTGTAAGTCTGTGGGGGATGGGAGAAGGAGGATATGGCAGATTGAGGCCCCCATGGTGAGGGAGTGAATAGGGCAGGGACTGCCTAGCTGGGGCAGGGCAGGGGATGGAGCTGTGGGGGGTTTATCCAGGGGGCACAGGGGGCTGAGGAAGGAGGGCGGCTCCCCACTGCTGCGTACACCCCCAGGGGAAGGCATGGTAGTACACACCCCCTAGATTTCTGTACAGGGCAAGGGCGGGCTGTCCATTGCAGGCTTGGGGCCAGGGACTGTGTTGACCTCTTCCCGGCAGGGGGGCTGGGCTCGGGTTGGGTGTAGGTGGGGTGCATGCGGGTGCTGGGAGGGGGCTACAGGGTCGGCTACTCCACTCCAAAAAATTCCCCATACCCCACCACAGTCCCCTTCCTAGCATTGCTACCTGTCCCCCCCACCCCAAGTGCAGCCCTGGCCCAGTCCGCCTGCCAGGAAGAGACCGGCAAGGTCCCTGGTTCCAAGCCTGCAGTGGGCAGCCTGCCCTTGCCCCACACACAAATTCAGCGGTGGGGGGGGACAACATGCCTCTCTGGGAGGTAGGTACAGTGCTGGGGAGCTTCCCCCCTCTCCCAACCCCCCCAGATGAGCCGCTTGCAGCTCCATCCTGCACCCCGCTATGCCCCAGCTGGGCAGTGCCTGCCTCTGCCCCACTCCCTCCCTCAACATAGGGTGCCTTGATCTGTCCCCCCCATACCCCTTTCCTCCCACAACAGACTACATATCAGCTATCAGATTGGTATTGGCCAATATGGCTGGTTAACAATCATCAGCCATTACTATCGGCCAAAACAATCTTTATCAGTGCACCCTTACATTTTAGTGGAGAAAGTTTAATACCCTGAGAGCTAGAAAACTGCTACATCCCACTGAAAGTTGGTAATTTTCTAGCTGTAGCTGTATGAAATATATTGGACACTGAAATGGTCATTGTAGCTACAATCCAGCAACAAAATATTGATACTGATACCAATTAAAACAGTAAAATATGAATCAATATGATTTTATAGCCAGCACATTCCAACAAAGGAAGTGAAGTTTCATACATTTTGCTGTAATTAAATACATACCATTTTGAATCTGAGCAACCTTCTTGGAGATTTCACCAATAATCTGGTTAAACAAAAAACAAGTATTTAGAAATTAGTTTTCCAGTAAAAGTTAGCAGTCACAAGCTAATTTCTAATAGATGACTGAAAACTTACATGAGAGACTCATTTGGAAGGGCAATTTTTAGATCCTAGTAAACAATTTAAGTACAATACTTAAGGCCAAATTAAAGACTTGTACAGACTTTGTACAACAGGAACCAACAATTTATTTTAACTTACTGGTCATTAAGGTTAAAATGAGATTCACGTTGTGCTGGCATAGTTAATGCTTGATCCTTAATCTAATTAAATACTCACATTAGAGAACTAGCAGCAAAGGGATGCTTGAGGCAGTGCTGTATTCAAAGCACACATATTCTCACCCTGATTCACAAGGATGTTGGCTTTTTATATATTGATAGAAATGCTTTAAAGCTAATCTCCTGAAATGTAGTGGTATAAGTTTCACTCAAATTATGCATTTTTAACAAATGGACCATTTGCCAATCCAGACTCTAACAAGGTTAGCCTGAAAAGAGATTCCATCTGGCCTGCCAAGCCAGGATAACTGGCAGTTAGCAGGCAGGAGAGGCAGGGATCAGTGGTCTGCCTTTAGCCTTGCATTATATTTGTTGCTAGAATGTTGCTGACCCCTGCTTTAAAGAATCAAAAGTGTCTCTATAGCACATACCTGTCGTCTCCATTTCTCAGCCTTCGGCAACTCATTACATTCTGATGCAAGAAAAGGTCTTCGCTCCTGTTCAGCAGAGATATATCATAAGCTTCAAATAATCTAAGATTGAAGTTCAATACACCCGCAATGCATTCAAGAATGCTCTCTCATTACCCACACTGTTAGTGGATTAGCCCTCAGCTAGTCAGCCACTCTTACTTCCACTTTCTCTTACCCCTCCTTTCAATGATTAACACCAATTTAGTGTTAGTAAGAGGTGTTTGCTAGCAGCCCTGATGAATGAAATCCTGTTACAGAACACAGCTGTCAACTCAAGTCTAGAGTGTCCAAAATAGAACTTGACATCTCTGGTCAAAGCCTCTCCCTTCCACTGTCCAACACTAGCCTCACACTAATCACTATAGCTCAGGCAGAGAGATACCTGTAGTCCTCTGCCCACATCTAGCCCCTTGGTAGTTTATTACTTTTCTACAGCTAAGCCTGATCACTCCTTTTCTATTCTTACAGTTAAGGTTTCAATCTAGTTTTTCCAGTTGGATGAAATGAGCTTCCAGGTCTCTCATCTTTCTCCCATACAATTTATCCATAATACTGCTACAAAAATGCACTTCTCTTTCCTGCCTCTAATAATGTCTCCCCCGCATTTTCTACACAGCTCACTGACCTCAGTTACTGCAAACTGAAGATCAGACTTTTTCCCTTACCTTCAGGGCTACCTACTTATCTGCTTGTTAGTACCTATTCCTATGCTTCCTCCATGCCTCACTTCCACACCTTCTTCCATAGCATTGTTTTATGCATGAACAGCCTCCCAGTTAGGATGTGCCAAAAACCTCCCAACTACAACCAGCAATTTCTGAAAGCCTCTTTTTTGAAGAATGTTTTAGGTACAATAATTCTAGGTGCTATTTTCTACTGTGCTGCTTTAGGCCATTCTCAGAGATGTTAGTCTCAGTCCTTGGAGAAGAAATCTAAATAATGGAACCTTAAGGTAAAACCTTCTACTGGATTCTGTAGCATTCTTCTGACAAAGCTACCAGAACAAAAAAATATCCTGATAATGACCAAAAAGTTGCAAGGCCCAAGTACATGGACTCCTGCACCTACATCACATCTCAATGAAGTCACAAACGCTCTGTATAGATGTAACAGTCCACTTGTGGAGATTTAGAAATATGAACCTAAAATGACAGGTTCCATTTAGCTTCTGGACCCAATCTCTTCAGCAGTGGTTTTGTAAAACACACACACTTCAGTCAACTTTTCCTTCATATCTTGCGCCTGGCTATAATGATTTGATGTTAGATTCAACTGTGCAAGCTATGACCACATTTAAGAATAGATGCATGTAAAGTGAGACACCACATGCCTAACTTATGCCTCAATATTGTCAGGTCATGTGTAAATCCCAAGTTCAGAATGCCCCTGGATACAAAATGCTGAATAGTTGCTACTTTGCCAGGGCACTACCAGGGAAGGAAAGATCATACAAGAGCTCTTCTAGCTTTCCTGGGCTGACTGGGAAAAAAGCCAAACAAAACCCATGATCAGGACCACAACTGATCAGTGAATGCATGCTATGTTAGCAGAAGATAACTTCAAATCTCACATTTATGTTTTTAGAATTTCTTTCCAAGTTATTATGCATCTATCTCTTCCTTATTCTACAATCAAGACACCTGGCTTCTACTTTAATTATCACCTTTGCTTTCTGTCCACGATTTAAGCAGGTTCATGGTTCACCTTTTCCCCTAGCAGCCGAACTGAAGTTACTGCTCTAGCAGAGTTTTTAGTTAGCATCTGCAGAAAACTTAGTATCTGTGTTGCCCTGCCATTTTGAAAACCTCTGCTTTATCCCGTTTTTCTTCCACAGTCTGTATGCAGCAGCCAGTCCTGGGACAACATTTGGGAACACTGTGATGAAAAACTCCACATCCCTTCGCATTCTGTACAAAATCAGTGAGCACTAATTTGAGCACATTAAAAAACCAACACCAATCGATTACTAAAAAGAAAATAATTTTTTCCGTCCTACCTTAACTTTCCCTTCCTCAAGTTGAGCTTGGCGAAACCTTGCCAAGGCTGTCCTAAAAAGGAAAATAAGTTAGTTTGCTTTTTTACTTTTACAGCTACATTCTCCCTGTAACAAGCCCCTACAGTCAGGTTTTCAAGGGATTTAGTGAACTGAATTCTGCAGGGACACATACAATTATAGTACATCTATGATCACTGAGTGCTTTGGCTAGAGGCTTCTTCAGCGCCGTGATGTTCTCAATGGCAACACTGGTTGGCGATTCATTTTTTTTAAAACATTTACATTGCTCTGATTATTTAAGAGTCAGAATTTTTCCAATATTTCCACTTAAAACATTTAGCATTGAAGAAGCCACTAAGCAAATCAGTCAACACCAGTGAAACATGCTGTCATCTAGATAGGATGGTTTGTGAGATTTAACATTTAAAGTAACAAGCTTGATTGCCTTGTACTTTAATAAGACATTTCAAGAACATTTTTTCTGTCATAACAGCTTCAGTAAACACTACTTATGGCCTGTAGTAGATTAATACACTTTTCTTTCCTTTTTTTTTAAAATTGAAAATATGAGTTTCCTAGGTATTCTGTCCCCACCCCCCCAAGCTACTTCCCCTCCTAAAGGGCAGCTACAAGGGAATCAATGACTGCTATATGTTGCCTGAATGTTATGCCTCTAATATTCTCAAAGTAAAAATTGAAACATTTCAATTGTTATATCTAAGTGTAATAGGGTTTGAAACTTTTTTCTTAAATGAGTGTTTCAGGTGCATGCTACATCACCCAGCCAAATCACTTGAAAACTGCCTCAGCAGCACGGAGCAGAACTGAGTCCGTGAGTCACCTCACCAGGGGGCCAAGGGAAGCAGATTGAACGCCAAGGGAAGCACCGACTGTAGGATGCCTGGAGGACTGACCTACCATACATGCGCACACTTTCCAGGTATGTTTTTGTCATGCCTCAGAGTGTTTTACTGGGCATATACATCTGTACATGTGCCTTCTGAAATGCTTCAAGGTACACCCTGTTCCCAGTCTCTGAACAGAGTTGCTTGAGACAAAGAAGATCCTTTCAAAAGGGCCAGAGGCAAACATAAAATCACTCTATAGACCTCCCTCAGCCTGAGATTCAGGGACTGAACTATATCTTACACCTTTGACTTTCATTCATTTCTGGCACAACTGGCAGGAGGTAAAAGCCCTCTCTTCACTTTTCATAGGAGCCAAACAAGGGACAGGAAAGAGCAGCATGCAACAAGAACAAGCCAGGCAAGGAATAAAAATCCTTGCTCAGCATGGTGACAAGCTCTACTATGGGGGGGGGGGGCAATTATTTGGGCAGAAAACCACTAAAAGAGTTTTGGTGAGCTGTTATGGGCTATGCGAGAGGTAGAGGGGAAGGAAGAGATTCTGACCTGGCCTGATGCAGCAGAGGGGTCAACTGATCTTATTTTGTACTAGGTCCATCCATCCTGCACCCACTGCTGGGAGCACCCAATGGAGCAGCAGGGAAGGGTCTTCATGGAGACTGGCCAAGGACCTCTGTGGGCAAGATGCTCTCAGTCGGGCAGATGGGATGGGGCTGCGGGTGGGCAG